TGCTTTCGACTCCCCTCCCCAGAGGTGTCATCACCATGGCCGGTATTCAGTACAGAGAACTGGTTTGTGAATGCCACTCTCTCAGGGGATTTCTGCCCCCTCTTCCTACCATGCCAGGTGATCACCACTCACTCTCCTTCTGAACCCTCTGCAGCTGTGGGGTGACCACCTCCTGAAACGCTCGATCCATGAACTCTTCAGCCTCCCATATGCTATGTAGTAACACCAGCCTCAGCCTCTCCTAGAAACTCTGAGCACAAGCGCGAGCAGCCAGAGGCACTTCCTGCACACATGTCTGTCCAGGGCACACAAAGCATCCTGGAGTTCCCACACCGCACACATTGTTCATGCAAATGGTCTCAGCTGCCCTGCCATATTCCCAGACATTTTTATATTATTTTAAAATAAATATTATACACTTTATAATTCAGCACCTCTTTTCCCCCTCTGCATCGAATTACCACTCTCACCAAATTCCTTAACTGAATTCTCACTCTGTTCCACTTCACTCAGTTCCCTCCTCACGCTGCTGGGATCTCTGCTCAAGGGATGACAGCACAGCCATCCTGGCTCAACGGCAAGACTTAGAAGGGCAGACCAGTCACTGGGGGCAAGGAATCATCCCGCTCAGCTCCTGATAACCCTGCAAGCCAAAGCCCTAACAGGAAGGGTGGTCCTAGCTGGACAAGTAGCGGGAAAGCTACTACGGGATAATGCCATCCACCTGACCGCTCGCTCCCGGTCCCCGCGTGCGCACTATGGCTGCCGCTTTGACCCGAGCCCCCTCACCCCCTCCCTCCCGCCCCCCTCCTCTCTCCCCCCAAACCCTCCCCCCTCTGCATCTCTCCCGCTCTCTCCTCCTCTCTCTCCGTCCCTCTCGTCTTCTATCCCCACTTGACCCTCCCACAACCTCCCTCTGCTCCAGCCTGGGAATCCTCCGCCGGGCTCACCGTGGCACTCGGCGTTGGCTGTCCAGCAGCAGCCACACCGACTGCCCCATTCCCCACCACACTCGCCACCCACCCCGGACACAGACCCGGGGAGTCAACCTCTCCTCCCTCATCCCCATTCCCCCCACCCTGCCTCACAACCTGGACCCCCCTCCCCTCCCACACACCCTTCTGTCAACCGCTCCCTCCACATCGGACTGCAAAATGTCCGCTCCCTCTGCAACAAGGCCCTGGTCATCAACGATCTCATCCTTGATGAGAACGTTGATATCATGGCCTTAACAGAAACCTGGCTCACCCCAGGCGACACCTTCCCCCTCACGGAGGCCACGCCACCCGGCTACACCTCCCACCACATCCCCCGCCCCAACCGCCGTGGCGGTGGTGTTGCCCTTATCTCAAGGACACCACTTGCCCTATCCCCCTACTCCTCTGGCTCTTTCCCCTCCTTTGAGCACCTCACCCTCTCCCACCCCTCATTCCTCTCCCTTAAAATCCTCCTCCTCTACCGGCCCCCTAAAACCTCTCCCACCTTCATCTCTGACATTTCAACACTCCTCACATCTCTTTGCCTCTGCTCCGATCGCCTCATCATCCTGGGCGACTTTAACCTACACTTCACCCCCTCCTGCTCCATCTCCACAGACTTCTCTTCCCTGCTCTCCTCACTCAACCTCTCCTTACACATAAACTCCCCCACTCACAGTCACGGCCACCCACTCGATTTGGTGATCACCCGGGGCCTCAGTGTCTCGGATGTCACTATTACCGACAAGGCCATCTCTGACCACTACTTCATCTCCTTCACCACCTCCACCCCCCTCCCCACCTCCACCAGACCCACCACCATCTTCTACCGCCCTTGGAAGAAGTTACCCCCACAATCCCTAACCGATGCCTTGGAGTCCTCTGAACTCCTCTCCCTCTGGCCTTCAACCCTCACCGACCCCTCTTCTCCTCTCTCCCTCCTCCACAATACCCTCTCCTCCACACTCGATACTCTTGCCCCCATCACTTCCCGCACTGTCTCCTACTCCCGCTCCTCCCCCTGGTACACCACCCACCTCCGCTCACTGAAAAGCCAGGTGCGGGCTGCTGAACGCACCTGTGTCAAATCTGGCCTAACGGTCCACCGACAAATCTGGCTGGACCTCCTCAAAATTTACCGCTCCACTCTAGCCTCGGCCAAGTCGTCCTTCTACTCCAGGATAATCCTGGAGGCGAAGAACAACCCCAGGCTACTGTTTTCCACCACAACCCGACTCCTCCGTCCCCCCGCCACCCCGCGCAGGTCATCTCCTCCAACCTTCACTGCGAGGAGATGCTGGATTTCCTTGAATCCAAGATCAAGGGAATCCGCTCCGCGGTCACTTCCCCTCCAACTTCCACCCACCACCCACCCCTTCCCTCCCACACTCCGACTCCTACCCATCCTCCCCTACACACCTTCGTACCCGTTTCCCCACCCTCTGTCACTGAACTCATCCTATCCCTAAAACCAACCACCTGCTCCCTTGACCCCATCCCCACTCCACTCCTTATCTCCCAGCTCCACTTTCTTGCCCCACATATCACTGACATCATCAACCTGTCCCTCTCCTCTGGCTCTGTCCCCATTCCATTAAAAACTGCCATCATCACGCCCACCCTGAAAAAACCCTCCCTTGATGCGTCGCAGCTATCAAGCTACCGGCCCATCTCCAACCTCCCCTTTCTCTCCAAGGTCTTGGAAAGAGTTGTCGCCTCCCAACTGCGCTCTTTCCTTTCCACCCATTCTCTTTTCGAACCCCTTCAGTCAGGTTTCCGTGCTGCCCATAGCACAGAAACTGCCCTGGTCAAGGTCACCAATGATATCCTGACCATCTGTGACCAGGGCTCCCTCTGTCTCCTCGTCCTCCTCGACCTATCGGCAGCATTCGATACGGTCGACCACGCTATCCTACTCCACCGCTTGTCCTCCCACCTCAACCTTCAAGGCACTGTCCTTGAATGGTTTAGGTCGTACCTTTCTCACCGTCTTCACTTTGTCTCGACGAATGGCTTCTCCTCCACCCCCCGCACTGTCTCATGTGGTGTCCCTCAGGGCTCTGTCCTCGGTCCCCTCCTCTTCACCCTCTATATGCTCCCCCTTGGTGACATCATCCGCAGACATGGGTTAACTTCCACATGTATGCGGATGACACCCAACTCTACCTTTCCTCCTCTACTCTCAACTCCACGACCACCGATGTCCTGACAGCTGCCTGTCCGACATCGAGTCCTGGACGAGAGACAACTTTCTTCAGCTCAACGTGCGAAAAACCGAGGCCCTCCTGATTGGCTCACGTCAGCGCCTCCGCACCTCAGGCGCTGACACCATCAGCATCCAAGGCTGCACTCTCCACCTCTCAAAGCCAGTCAGGAACCTCGGCGTTTTGTTCGACCCTGAGCTGTCCTTTCTCCCTCACATCCGCACCACAACTGGCACCGCCTTCCATCACCTCCGGAACATCGCCAGACTACGGCACTACCTCACCCCTCACGCTGCTGAAACCCTGGTTCACGCCTTTGTCACCTCAAGGCTGGACTATGGGAACTCTCTCCTCGCCGGCCTTCCCGCCACCTCCCTCCACAAGCTGCAGGTCATTCAGAACTCTGCAGCTCGTGTACTGTCCCGCACCAGGCTTCGGGACCACATCACTCCCACCCTCGCTCGCCTCCACTGGCTCCCCATCCCCCAGAGGATTGATTTCAAGATCCTCATCCTCACCTACAAGGCCATTCACGGCCTTGCTCCCTCCTACCTCTCCAACCTACTATCCCCCTACCTACCTGCCCGTACCCTCCGTTCCTCTGGCTCCGGTCTGCTCCACGTCCCCCGCCCCAACCGCCCTACCATCGGTGGTCGGGCCTTCAGCCTCTCAGCCCCAGGCTCTGGAACTCCATCCCCCAGTGCCTTCGCCTTGCTTCCTCCCTTTCCTCCTTCAAGGCCGGTCTCAAAACCTTTCTCTTTGACCGAGCCTTCAGCTCCCCTCTCGACTCTCTTCCCCTCCTCGCTCCCTCCCTTCCCTCCCCTCACCCTGACCATTTCCTCCCCCCTCGCTCCCTCCCTTCCCTCCCCTCACCCTGACCATTTCCCCCCTGCTCGGGTCATGACCCAACTGTGCAGCGCCTTGGGACGTCCTCCTGACGTGAAAGGCGCTTTATAAATGGAATCTTGTTGTTGTTGTTGAAAGCTTGCCAGACAGTGTTTTCATTGGCAAGCTATGTGGTTTTAGCTGGTTAGACTCTAGCAGTACCCGAACGCACACTCCGAAGACCTCAAGTCTTGGCTCTTGCCACCCTGTGCCTAATACTTTCTGGAATTAGTTAACAATAGAATACACAATTATATTTGTATAATGCCTTTCAGGTTGGGAGGAGGTCCCAAGGCGCTGGATGCATAATCAGGATTCATTTCTTCAGGGAGAGAGTGCATATTCCATTTCGATAATTATCTCTGAAATTTCCACGTGTAGGTGGGATGCGTCGAATTTTCTGTTGGTTGGATACGCTTAAGCATGATGATGGGTTTCTGCGTGTGTCAGACACCCGCTGACCCCAAAAAAACAATATATGGGTGGAGGAACACAGTGGTCTGTACTGAATTGAGTTTTATGCTCTGAATGTTGTCTTTCAGTTCCTAAACCACCATATAATGAGAGATCACAACATGGAGTATCAAAGAATGTCAGATGCCATTCAGTGAAGATGGTCTATCAACTGAAACCACCAATGTTAATTAGTGATACCATGATACTAAGATTGTACAATTCTAGGATCATTTGGTGGCTTAGGAACTGGAGCACATTAATAGGGCTGATTACAAAACCCATGGGTTGGAGTTAAGCGATCCTCTGGTTCACACTTATATAAAGCTCTAGCGACTAGGGTATATTGCCAAATAATAATAATCCTCACACCTGATACTGCGCCTTATCACGTCATATGATGCCTCATAGAACTTCACAGGATATACTGTAAAGTCGACTGACTGTGTATTTTGTGGGCGAAACGCGGCAATAAACTTACCGTGTTGAGCTAAGAGCTCAGCTCCCTTCCTCGTCCTAGATATTTTGGCTTTTGACTCTTCTCGCTCTCTTATCTCCTCTTTGAAAAATGTCTCCTGCTCTCTAGCTTCCTCTTGAGTGACTGTGGTTTGCATGACCATAACGGTTGAATTATTTTTCACGTTCTGCTCAGCGAGGGATTGATCTGTAAAGACACGGGCACATTTCTATAAGACTGGTACTTTTAGGATAGTGATTCAAAACACAGAGCCACCGATCATCAGGTCACAGGTTTAATTTCTCCTAATCATGCAAAACATCTGACCTCAACCAATCCCCACTTTAAAGGAAAAGAAGGGAAAACAGAAAGCACTCATTTTCTTTTTAGTTAAAGAAAGAGCTGTGTCGGTGTCTCATCAGGGAACCATAAAATTAGATGCTGCGTTATATAACAAAGGGAGTCCACAGGGAAACAAAATAGTAAAAGGTCCTGCTTTTGGGTCAACAGACGTGTAACGTACATCCAATATTTACAGGTCCCCCTCAAGTCTCATGTAAAGAGTCCACGGGTTTACTACTTTATTAGGTTATAGTTTATGTTATAACATGGTCAGACTGCCTTTATGTATTCATTTTCAATAAATTTTTAATCATAAGCACCAACTCAGCCCACAGACATCGAGCCGAGAGCCACTCTGCTGGCTGCAAAGGACCCTCTGTGAAATGAGATCACTCTTTCAAAGAGTTTGCGCAGACATGATGGGCTTTCTACTATCTATAAAAATGTCTATGGTTCTACAAGCTGGGAAGGTGTCAGTCCAGCTCTTGGACACAGGCCCAGAGCAGCAAAATATCCTTAAGCCAATCTCATTTGTGAGGCCAAAGAGTATATCCAACGTGGGAATTTAAACATTATACAATAGTGTAGTTGAAACTTCTCCATTCCCCACTTCCCTGCGATGCCCTCCACTGTAAAGCTCTCCAAGATATTCTCTGTAACAACAACAACTTACATTTATACAGCGCCCTTCACCCAGGCCAGTGTCTCGGAAGCTTAACAGTGGTGCAGCCTGACTCCAAGCTGGGGGTGGGGTGGGTAAGCGACTATAAGCACTGTCAAAAACGAAGGTTTTCAGGCTGGACTTGAAAAAGGGGAGAGGCAGAGGGATTGAGGGAGAATGTTACAGAGTTTCGGGGAGTCGTAGCTGAAGGCACGACCTTCAACGGTGGAGCAGAGGGTGCGAGGGATAAGCAGGAGGCCGGTGCCAGTTGAGAGGAGGGTGGTGCATTGGGGAGTGAGGTCGGAGAGGTAGGGTGGTGCCAGGGAATGAAGGGATTTGAACACGAGTGTAAGGATTGGAAGGATTGGGGAATAGAGTTCCAAAGCTTTGGGTGTAGTGGCTAAAAGCCTGGCCGCCAATGGTGGAGTGGAGGACGCAAAGGACAAGCAGAAAGTCAGAACCAGCTCTGAGGGGAGCCAGCGGATAGTGGAGTGAGGAGAAAGCAGATTAGAAAGGTAGGCAAGTGCCAGGGCATGAAGGGATTTGTAGACGAGTGTGAGGACCCATTGCATGCACAAGATGTGCCATGTGGGAACTCCAGGATGCTTTGTGTGCCCTGGACAAACACATGTGCAGGAAGTGCCTCTGGCTGCTCAAGCTTGAGGAGAGGCTGGTGTCACAACATAACATACTGGAGGCTGAAGAGTTCATGGATTGAATGTTTCATGAGGTTGTCACTCTACAGTCACAGAGGGTTCAGAAGGGGAGTGAGTCGGTGGGTGACCACCCGGCATGGTAGGAAGAGGGAACGGGCAGTGCAGAAATCTCCTGAGAGTGTGGCACTCACAAACTGGTTTTCTGTACTGAATACTGGCCATGGTGATGGGAGTCAAAAGCAAATGGATGCACAGGGGGGACAGGGAAGAGTGTCAACACAATTGTCATTGGGGACATAATGGTGAAAGGAGTAGACAGGCGTTTCTGCAACCAAAGACAGGACTCTCGCATGGTATGTTGCCTCCCTGGTGAAGACATCACGGAATGGGTGCAAAATGTTCGACAGGGGGAAGGGGAACATCCAGAAGTCGTGCTCCATGTTGCGATCCATGACGCAGGAAAAAAAAGGGCTGAGATTCTGCAGGGAGAGTATCAGAAGCTAGGGAAAAAGCTAAAGAGTAGGACTTCAAAGGTGGTGATTTCTGGATTACTCGCAGTACCTCGTGCAAGTGAGTATCAAAACAGCAGGATCAAACACATGAATGCATGGCTGGAGAAATGGTGCAGAACAACAACAACAACAACAACAAGATTCCATTTATAGAGCGCCTTTCACGTCAGGAGGACGTCCCAAGGCGCTGCACAGTTGGGTCATGACCCGAGCAGGGGGGAAATGGTCAGGGTGAGGGGAGGGAGGGAAGGGAGGGAGAGAGGAGGGGGAAATGGTCAGGGTGAGGGGAGGGAAGGGAGGGAGCGAGGAGGAGGAAGAGAGTCGAGAGGGGAGCTGAAGGCACGGTCAAAGAGAAAGGTTTTGAGACCGGCCTTGAAGGAGGAAAGGGAGGAAGCAAGGCGAAGGCACTGGGGGATGGAGTTCCAGAGCCTCGGGGCTGAGAGGCTGAAGGCCCGACCACCGATAGTAGGGCGGTTGGGGCGGGGGACGTGGAGCAGACCGGAGCCAGAGGAACGGAGGGTACGGGCAGGTAGGTAGGGGGATAGTAGGTTGGAGAGGTAGGAGGGAGCAAGGCCGTGAATGGCCTTGTAGGTGAGGATGAGGATCTTGAAATCAATCCTCTGGGGGATGGGGAGCCAGTGGAGGCGAGCGAGGGTGGGAGTGATGTGATCGCGAAGCCTGGTGCGGGACAGTACACGAGCTGCAGAGTTCTGAATGACCTGCAGCTTGTGGAGGGAGGTGCCGGGAAGGCCGGCGAGGAGAGAGTTCCCATAGTCCAGCCTTGAGGTGACAAAGGCGTGAACCAGGGTTTCAGCAGCGTGAGGGGTGAGGTAGTGCCGTAATCTGGCGATATTCCGGAGGTGATGGAAGGCGGTGCCAGTTGTGGTGCGGATGTGAGGGAGAAAGGACAGCTCAGGGTCGAACAAAACCCCGAGGTTCCTGACTGGCTTTGAGAGGTGGAGAGTGCAGCCTTGGATGCTGATGGTGTCAGCGCCTGAGGTGCGGAGGCGCTGACGTGAGCCAATCAGGAGGGCCTCGGTTTTTCGCACGTTGAGCTGAAGAAAGTTGTCTCTCGTCCAGGACTCGATGTCGGACAGGCAGGCTGTCAGGACATCGGTGGTCGTGGAGTTGAGAGTAGAGGAGGAAAGGTAGAGTTGGGTGTCATCCGCATACATGTGGAAGTTAACCCCATGTTTGCGGATGATGTCACCAAGGGGGAGCATATAGAGGGTGAAGAGGAGGGGACCGAGGACAGAGCCCTGAGGGACACCACATGAGACAGTACGGGGGGTGGAGGAGAAGCCATTCGTTGAGACGAAGTGAAGACGGTGGGAAAGGTAAGAGCTAAACCATTCAAGGACAGTGCCTTGAAGGTTGAGGTGGGAGGACAAGCGGTGGAGTAGGATAGCGTGGTCGACCGTATCGAGGAGGGCTTTAGGTTCCTGGAACATTGGGATCAGTTCTGGGGCAGGTGGGATCTGTACAAGGTGGATGGGTTACACCTGAACAGGGCTTGGACCAAAGTCCTCGCAGGGAGGTTAACTAGTGCTGAGGGGAAGGGATTAAACTAATTTCGAGGGTGGAAGGGAATCAAGATAAGAACATAAGAAATAGGAGCAGAAGAAGGCTATTCGGCCCCTTGAGCCTGCCCCGCGATTTAATAAGATCATGGCTGATCTTCTAAGCTAATTCCATTTGCCTGGCCTATCCCCATATCCCTTAAGTTTTTAAAAATCTATCAATCTCAGACTTAAATATGTTCAATGACTAAACATCAACAGCCTTTTGGGGTAGAGAATTCCATAAATTCACTACCCTCTGAGTGAAGAAATGTTTTCTCAACTCAGTTCTAAAGGGCTGACCTTTAATCCTGAGACTATGACCCCTAGTTTTAGATTCTCCAACCGGGGAAACAGTCTCACACTATCTACCATGTCAAGACCCTTAAAAATCTTATAGGTTTCTGTACGATCACCTCTAATTCTTCTATAATTTAAAGAATATAGGCCTAGTCTACTCAACCTCTCCTCGTAGGTCATCCCAGGAACCAACCTAGTGAACCTACGTTGCACCCCCTCTGAAGCGAGTATATCTTTTCTTGGATAAGGAGACCAAAACTGCACACAATACTCTAAGTGACGTCTCACGAAGGCCCTATACAACTGCAGCAAGACTTCCCTACTCTTGTACTCTAACCCCTTTGCAATAAACGCTAACATGCTATTAGCCCAGTGGTGGGCAAAATACGGCCCGCGGGCCATATTTGGCCCGCCAAATGATTCTCCCTGGCCCGTCATTGTGTCTAGCAATAAATAAAGTTATAGTTTGTTCAGTCCCAGAAAGGATCAGTTTTAAATGTGTCCCTTACGTTTCTTACTTTTATCACAGCATTGATTTTTAATTGCTAAAGTCGTTAAGTTTTTTTCTCCACAAATTTCGCATTTGAATCAGACCGGGAACATCAGCCAATCACACTGCTTAGTTGTGCGCACGTTCCCTTAAGTGTTGAATCAGGCTGACATCAGAAATGTACGGATCGGCAAATTTTCAAACATGCGCACGCGGCAACACTTTTCACTGAAGAGGATGTTAATTTGAAATGAGTTTATCAAAGAAGCGGAAAGTGGACGCTGAAGGCCGAATATTCAACAAAGAATGGACTTCTAAATATTTTTTTAAACCAGTGTGGGTGGAAAAGCTGTGTGCCTAATTTGCAAAGAAAGTGTGGCAGTGCTCAAAGACTGCAACTTGAATCGCCATTTTGAGAGCAAACATGCTTGCAAATATAAGAACGTTTCTGCCAAAGAAAAAGGAAAGAAAGCTGATGAGATGGTTATTCGAATGCAAAAAGAGCAAAGCAATTTCACAAAACAATTTGCGTCCGAGGATAAGATTACAAGAGTGAGTTACGTAATTGCACACAAAATCGCCAAGAACAGCAAACCATTCTCTGAAGGAGAATTTATAAAGGAATGTATGGTTGACTCTGTCTCGATTTTATGCCCAGACAAGAAAAAACAGTTCAAGAACATTAGC